CAGGAAACCAGATAATACATTTATTTATTTCAGGTACTTATATAGCACCATCAATTTACACAGCACTTTACATATATATTATACATTTACATCAGTCCTTAAGCCTCAAGAGCTGTACAATCTAAGGTCCCTAACTCACATTCATACATACACATACTAGGGTCAATTTAGACAAGAGCCAATTAACCTACCAGCATGTCTTTGGAGTGTGGCAGGAAACTGGTGTACCCGGAGGAAACCCACGCAGACACAGGGAGAACATGCAAACTCCAGGCAGGTGGTGTCATGGCTGGGATTTGAACCAACAACCCTAGCACTTCCAGGCAGAAGTGCTAACCATTTAGCCACTGTGCAGACTATATTTATTAAAGGTACTTATATAGCACCACCAATTTACACAGCACTTTACATATATATATTATACATTCACATCAGTCCCTAACCCTCAGGGAGCATACAGTCTAAGATCTCTAACTAACATTCATATATATACATACTTGGGCCAATTTCGACAAAAGTCAAATAGCCTATCAGCATGTCTTTGGAGTGTGGGAGGAAACTGGAGCCTATATATATATATATATATATATATATATATATATAATATATATATATAAAATGATAATAATATTGCTATAGCACTTTGCTCCCTGGGGACTCAAAGTGCTTATCAAATTGGTGCTGGAATCTTTGAATTCAAGTATTTGTGTGGTGTTGCTATAAGCCTGGGTGGAGAATGTGTCTTGAGTCTGTTTTTAAAATATCAAGAGAGGATGCTTCAACAGTGGGTAAAAGTGATTTCCATATTCTGCGTGCTGCAATATGCTGTAGAATGCACATGGCTGAAAAATTTTAAGGTGACTCTGAGCTTGTGTAATTTTCAGTAGAAGAAGTATGGGTAGCTGAAATGCATGTATTGAAGCTATTTTACATGCCAAGAGGATTTAAATTTTTGCTCATTGAGCCCTGAGATAAAAATGAAAGATCCTTGCATTGAATCTTTAATGTTTTGTACTCGATTTTTCATATTAATATTGTATTAGTGCCTGCTGTTCTTCTCTGTTACCTGGGTGATCATGCCTGTGCTCCTCCTTCTGTTAGTAAACTGACCACGGTATGCATGACATCCAATCCATGCTAGTGTGGTCTGTCTATGTCCTCTGCCATCACGTACTTAGATACAGGAATGTTGTGCAATCATGTAGCATGCCTGTGTCTTCCATAGTCAGTGCAAACCACACCCCTGCACAACCTCCTGGCCTTGATTGACAACAGCTTGCCCTACAGCCATTCCTCCTCTACCCTTTGTGAAGCTGCCTCCCAGACATCTCAGGTGTGCCTACCACACCCAATACACGCCCACCAGCAGGTCATGTAATCGCTGTGTATTCCCAAGCAATTCATGGACCTGGTGGGTGTTTATAGAGCGGGGCAGACATCTCTGACATCACAAGAGAGGAGGAGTGGCTGGAGCCGCTCTATATGCCCACCAGCAGGTCTTGGGAGTCAGCAGCAATCACATGACCTGCACTTTAGAAGGCAAAAAAATTTATTAAGGGCAAGATTAAACATAGAATGAATAAAAGGTTATAGTTAGCTAACTGAAAATGTTTTTATTATCACTGATGTTTACAACTGCTTTTAGTAATATACCTAGATCTAGTCCCTTCAATAGTGTAATGACCGGACAGTGAAGGGATAAGATGCACATTAATGAGCCAGTCACTACTCCTATTAGCAAATTCAGGTATTGAAGCTGCCCATAGTTAGATTGAAATTCCCTGTTGAACCGGCAACTTCTGTCAAACAGAACTGTTAGAAAATTTTCTTGATTAGTGTATTTTGACAGTAGAGGAGTCCTATTATCAGAATACAATAGCACAACGGAGAAGATTCCTCCATCCACCTCACATGTGTGGATGGGGGAATCCAGAAATCTTTTTTGACCAGCCCCCTGGTTGATTGAAAAAAAAAAAAAAAAGGCATCTATGGGCAGCCTTACATTAGTAGGTTTTACAAATACACCTGCTACACTTACACTTTCTGCTGGTGATTCCCTGGATGGCTTTGTAGTGCAAAATTCTGAAGAAGGTCCACCTTTATAATGCATCATATGCTAGATACAGCAGATCCACACAGTTTAACAGGATCAGCTATGTGAGTATCTTCCTTGCACCAGGAAAGGAGCAAGACCTTTTGTATATATTTTTTATATAAAGATACATGTTTGTAGAGAATGTGGTTGAGTAACGGTGTTTGCTCTTTTTCGTAAAAGTTCTATGAGAGTGTCACATGAGCCCGGTGCACTTTCTGTTTGTCCTGTAAGACCAAAAATAGTAGAAATAACCATGTATGGTAGGCATGCCATGGATTTGTTAGCACACTGCCATACATATCACAAGCAGGGGCAGACTGACCATTTGGAAACTCGGGCACTGCCGAGGGCCCGGGGTCAGTAGGGGGCCCCATGAGATGCCCCTGGTACCTTTTTCATAGGCTTTTTTGAGTTTGGGCAAGGACACAGGGGCCCCATGATCCCCTATTGCCCGGGGGCCCCATGATTTGTCAGTCCACCCCTGATCACAAGCACATAGTAAGTTCCGAGAGCAGATTTGCTTTTGCTCAAGATTAGTGTATGACTGTATAAGCATTTCCTTTAGCAAATAAACCCCCATGAAACCCCCAAATTATCATCAAGGGCTTCCAGATTTGTAAGGCATTAGAGGATCACACATTTGGTACAAGAAAGCTATTAGTGGAAAATTGTATCTATTCAGAAAAAATCATAAAGTTTTTAAAGCTGAAGTTTAAGTATGGCAATTTTTTTACACAGTTACATTGGTCCAGCTTGGACAAATTCTCTAAATTGGCCTTAGTATGTGTATGTATGAATGTAAGTTAGGGACCTTAGATTGTATGCCTCTTTAGGGTTAGGGACTGATGTAAATGTACAATATATATATGTAGAATGCTACAGAAATTGACAGCACTATATAAGTACCTGAAATAAATAAAATAAGCTTTTGCTGTAACTTTGCAAAAAATTGCCATACCTAAATTTCAGCTGTAATATTGTTGAAACCAGCTGAAAACCAAAAATGTAGAAAGAGAGGAAACATTTTTCTCGAAGATTTTGTATTTTGAGGTACAAAGGGAAGCATAAATATTTTCCTGCAATGTGAGGATGCATTTTTTTCAAAGAACATTAACTCATAATTTTGTACAGAAGGAAGACAGACCCAAAAGCCAGCACTTGTACTTAGCAACATGAACAACTCAGAATGGAAACAGGGTAAAAAAAAAAAAGGAACAATGAAGTTCTCCCTTCAAAGAATTGTGCCTCTGCATCAGAGCAGGGAAATGAGTGATTTTATTCTGGACTGATCATTTTCAGCTTGGTCACAAGTTTAGCAAAAAACAAAGAAGTAATGAAAATATATAACAAACCTTTCATTTTTGCAGGTAATAATTTTACCCAAAAAATTACCTTTACAGAAACAGAATAACATAGTATACATGCCTTCCTTTTAATTGGTATATCACATCAGAGTTTTGCTTTTACATTTCTTCAAAAGTGAACAAATGTACTTTTCTGCCGCTTAAATAAAAGATGTAAAATACAAGAAGTATTTTACCTGCACGTAATATATTTTACAAAAAATAATAGTGCAAAAAAAACACAGGTGACTAATTATTTTCTTAACCAATATAGCAAGTTAACCACTTGACCTCTGGAAGGTTTTAGCCCCTCCATGACCAGGTCACTTTTTCCTATTTAGCACTGTGCTACTTTAACTGGTAATTGCACATTCATGCAATGCTGTACCCAAATTCAATTTATATAACTTTATTAACACAAATAGAGCTTGCTATTGGTGGTATTTAGACTGGTTTTTTTACATTTTTATTATATAAACCAATAAAGACAGACATTTTTGGAAAAAAATTACTTTCTGCTATAAAACATATCCAATAAAAACAATTTAAAAATCCATTTTCTTCAAAAATTTAGGCCAAAATGTATTCTGCTACATGTCTTTGGTAAAAAAAATCCCCAAAAATGTATATTGATTGGTTTGTGTAAAAGTTATGAATATGGTATATGGTATATACTGCATTTTTTATTTAGTTTTTTTAATACTAGTAATGGTGGTGATCAGTGACTTATAGTAGGACTGTGATTGAGAGGCGGGCAATCGGACACTTACTGACGCTGGATGGGAGGTACACTAACTGACTAACTAACATCACCAGTGACACTAATACAGTTATCAGTGATAACAATATACACTGTCACTGTACTAAAGACACTGGCTGGAAATGGGTTAAAATCTAGGGGTGATCAAAGGATTAACTGTGTGTAACAATATGTAATGTGTGCTGCTTTTTACTAAATATCTGTTTGTTCTTTCTCCCAAAGAGATCATTCCCTCTGTACAGAGCCTTGTGTGATTGTCAACGCAGGGCTCTGGGCTGTGATTGGACACATAATCAGCAGGTTTCAGCCACGAATCATTGGCTGAAACCTGTTGACAAAATCCCACTTGTGGGAGTTGGCCGAGGGGGTGGGTGCCAAGCACGTATCCCCTGTACCCAGAAGAAAGTGCTGACATACAGGTATGTAATTGTGCCTGCATGAGCCACCCACCCACTGTAAAATTACTGCAAGCGGTTTTTGCAAGTTGTTCAAGTGGAACAAATACACATTTGCAATTCCCATACGTTTGCTTTCATACCTATCAAAGGATTTGTAAATACTAACTTACATACCGCATCATATATCCAGGGCTGGTGCTTCCACTGGGCAAACGAGGCAGCTGCCTAGGTTGCACTGCCACATAGGGGTGCCTGGGCATAGCACAGGCCTGCACTCTCTTTGTATGGGACCCTGCCATGTCATGAAGGATTCTTCAGCTGAGGGGAGGTGAGGGGTGGCAGAAGGGAAGAATAAAGGACAGAGGAATATGCCAGGTATATGGGGCTAGTGTAGCAGCTGAGCTGCCACTCCTTCCAGTGTTCCTCTCAGACTCAGTCCCTTACTACAAGCTGGCTGGCAGCTGCCTATCACTGTGGAGTTCCAGCTGGGGTACTATTTCTTCCACTCTGACACCAATGATGGGGCACTATTCCTCCTACTGACACCAATGATGGGGCACTATTCCTCCCACTGCCATGAATGATGGGGCACTATTCCTCCCACTGACACCTACGATGGTGCCCCATCATTAGTGTTAGTGTGGAAGCAATAGTGCCCCATCATTAGTGTCAGTGGGAGGAATAGTGCCCCATCATTGGTGTCAGTGGGAGGAATAGTGCCCATCATTAGTGTCAGTGTGGGCGGAATAGTGCCCCATCATAAGTGTCAGTGTAGGAGGAATAGTGCCCCATCATTGTGTCAGTGGGAGGAATAGTGCCCCATCATTGGTGTCAGTGTAGGAGGAATAGTGCCCCATCATTAGTGTCAGTGGGAGGAATAGTGCCCCATCATTGGTGTCAGTGGGAGGAATAGTCCCCATCATTAGTGTCAGTGTGGGAGGAATAGTGCCCCATCATTAGTGTAAGTGGGAGGAATAGTGCCCCATCATTGGTATCAGTGGGAGGAATAGTGCCCCATCATTGGTATCAGTGGGAGGAATAGTGCCCCATCATTAGTGTAAGTGGGAGGAATAGTGCCCCATCATTGGTGTCAGTGGGAGGAATAGTGCCCCATCATTGGTATCAGTGGGAGGAATAGTGCCCCATCATTGGTGTCAGTGGGAGGAATAGTGCCCCAAGTGTAAGTGGGAGGAATAGTGCCCCATCATTGGTGTCAGTGGGAGGAAAAGTGCCCCCTCATTGGTGTCACTGGGAGGAATAGTGCCCCATCATTGGTGTCAGTAGTAGGAAAAGTGCCCATCATTGGTGTCAGTGGGAGGAATACTGTCCCATCATTGGTGTGCTAAACCCCTGCTCCAGCCTGGGCTCCCTCCCTCTCCCATCCACAGCCAGCATACCTTGCTGCAGCAGCTCCATCTGTTCTGCCCAGATCCTGTCCACACAGACATTTACTGATCAGCTGTCTTCCTTCTCCGGCCACTCTCCTCCTCTTCACCGGCTCTGGTCCCACACTCGGTCTTCTTCAAACTTCGTGCTGCCGCTTAGCTCCTCCTCTCTAAGCTCCGCCTCCTCACCGGTGATTGGCCACCTGTGTGCCTTTCCTGAGCTACAGATCCAGTGGCCAACCACTGATGAGGAGGTGGAGCTTGCAGAGGGAGGGACAGGCTGCCTTAGGCTACCCAGTGATACCAGGGGTGTGGCCAGATGACAGGGGTGGCATGTCATCCCGCCCACATTGCGATCAAGATCCAGGGAGATGAAGACACCGGACGGACACCCTCTCCAAATAAACTAAATTTTTTTAATACACATGATTGGATGATGGAAGTCAGCAGAGCTTCCCCTGGAGCTCTGGAGCAACTTCACTTATAAAGTGCTCCTTTCTTTATGCCTTTAGTAAATCCACCCCATTACATGTAGTAAAATCTATTTATTTTCTCCTGTCATTTCACCAGATTTTCAGAGATATTTTCTGTGAATATACAAGCATAAACATAATTTGCTGCATAAACCTCCCAATCACTCCACACATAATATAATGTACATGTATATCACAATGGTCTCATCAGAACATATACTGTATGTAGTGGGGATACTTTACTTTTTCACAATTATTTTTAGAAATATCTTCCCACTGACAAGTTCCCACTGACATCCTTGATCATTTTATTTATCTATAAGCCTGGGTTCACATACATGCGGTGTGATTTGCACAGGGACCGCACCACATTCCTGTGCAAATCACATGCGATTTGTGTGCGGTGTCATTGGAGACATACATTTTGTATGGCTCTAATCGCAACACACCCGCACATCAAAAAGGTGCAGGACCCTTTTTTTGGTCCACACTAGAATCGGATCGCACGAGTATTCACACCTATGCAATCTGATTCTGCATATCACACCTCGTTTTGCGGACCGATTTCGGGGTGTTTTGAATTTAACATGCACACCCGCAATGGTTCGCATGAACTGGGTGCGATTCTGATGCGGTACGGAATTTGCCCAGAAAGCGCTGCAAATTCCACACAGCATCAGTGTGAACCAGGGCTAAGGGGGTAATTCTTTCCAATGTCCTGATGTGTAAGGAGCATTCCTCCCACTGACCATCACTCTAATGTATCATGAGTCGTAGATGTAGTCAATTTTAGCAGTGGTTCCCTGAGACTGGAAAGTTGTTTCAAGTGTTCCTATGTGCTGAAAAGTTTGAAAAAGGCTGCTTGGAAGTGTAACTAAAGGCAAAACTTTCTTTTTCATTTTAAATAGGGTACAGGAGGGTTAGAACTCTGGTCAGTTTTTTTTTACCAACTGTGTCACATTGGGGAGATTTCCTTCACTTCCTGTCCCTTTGCCAAAGCAGAAAGTGAGAGGAAAACCCTGCAAATTAAGGGAATCCCTTGGGGACCCCAGGTCACCAGAACTAGTATCCCCATTGGAGGATTTCCCCTCTATTACTTTTCTAGGTACAATCCAAAATTTAGGATTTTCTTCATTTCACTTTTTAATAATAATAATAATAATAATAATGGTAAACAGGACAAATAGAGAGGGTGAATCTCCTTAATGGGGACACAGACAGCAATAAAAACCTAATAGGTGTTCTAATACCTCTCCATTTTATCCACAACTAAAAAAAGCTTTTCATTTAGTTATACTTCAAGTAAATACAAAATATCTTTCTAAATGTCAAATATTGAACAAAAATAGTATAAAAAATTACACACATATATAAATATCCTTCTTCCACCAATAAAAAAAAGACAACATTGTAGAAGGAGGGTATTTATATATGTGTGTGATTTTTGGTACTTTTTCTGTTCAATATTTGACATTTAGAAATATATTTTGTATTTACTTAATCTACTTGCCCTCCAGAGGATTTACCCCCCTTCCTGACCAGACCATTTTTTGCGGTACAGCGCTGCATTACTTTAACTGACAATTGTGCAGTCATGCAACACTGCACTTAAATGAAATCTACGTCTTTTTTCCCACAAATAGAGCTTTCTTTGAGTGGTATTTGATTGCTTCAAATCTTGTCATTAATATTGGCCAAAATGTATTCTGCTACATGTCTTTGCTAAAAAAAAAATCCCAATATGTGTAAATTGATTGATTTACGTGAAAGTTATAGTGTCTACAAAAAAATGCGGTATAGATACTAGTCTTTTTTTTTATACTAGTAATGGCAGCAATCAACAACTTGTAGTGGGACTGCAGGACTGCAGCGAGAATTCTGACACTGACTAGCTGTCACTGACATTCCCAGTGACACTAATACAGTGATCACTGCTAATAAAAAGCACTGACACTGTACTAATGACACTGGGAAGGAAGGGGTTAACATCTGGGGCAATCAAAGGGTTAACTGTTTTACTGTGTGCTGTGTGTGTGCTTTACTGTGTAAGCACACTGCTTTGTACGGCTATGCAGAGCCATGCAAAGCAATGTGCAGGAGCTGACAGGGGAGAGATCTGTATTGTTTACATACAGGTTTCTCCCCCATCGGTGATAGATGGTGATCGCTGGGTGTTGGCGGGGAATCACTGGCCGGGACTCGGTGATTGACAGGTGAGGCCGCCAATGGCATGTGGGTAGGGTGTGTGTGCGGCTTGCATGCACCCCCTACCTGGAAATGCAAAATCACGTATGTATACATGATTTTGCACACCCCTGTCTCCCTTTAGCAGAATTTCTGCTATAGGGCGACAGGAAAGCGGTTAACTTGCGTGTTTTTAATACACCACGTGTGTCCTGTAAAAGCAGCTTCCCTTTAACTGGCATTCCAGCCACCTATTCTCTTTTGTATGAAAGCGGAGTTCCACCCAAAAGGGGAAGTTCCGCTTTAAAGATTGGTCCCCCACTCCCCATTAAGGATTGGCATCTTTGGGGAGCCGGGGGGGAGCAGGTACCCGCTCCCACTTCTGCTGCGATCACCTAGACGATCAGAAGTGGAAGTTGTCCCCCTACCCTCCCCTCCCTTCACGTGACAGGTCCCAGAAGATGACGGGGCCATTCTGGAAGTCCAGCACTACTCGTGCATGCGCAGTGGGCACCCACCTGTGAAGCCGCAAGCTATCACAGCCAGGTGCCCACACTGAAGATGCCGGCACCGGGAACACAGGACAGCCAGTGAAATGGGCTGTGGCAGGGGCACCGCGGGATCGTGGGGCAGGTACGTAAGTGGCTGTTTTTTATAAGTCAGCAGCTACAGTTATTGTAGCTGCTGACTTTTATTTTTTTACAGTGTGAGTGGAACTCCGCTTTAATACATACACTGTAGGGACCACCCTGACTTTTTAGTGAGTTGGCATATTTGTATGATTTAAACCATTTTAACTCTTTAACCGCATGCCGCCCAGCCACTGTAGATATACGGCGGCAGGGCGGCACTCACAGGCAAAACCACGTTTTAAAATGTATGTTTTGTAAACAAATAGGGGGCGCGCGTGAGGCGCGCTGCCGCCCTATTTGTCTGTGGATCACCGCCGCAGATGTCAGTTGCCGGTCACAGCCGCTCATTAGCGGCTATGTCCCGGCGATCGGAGGTAAACGGTGACAGAGAGCACAGCTGCAGTAGCTGTGCTGTCTGTCACCTCTCTGTCAGCTCGAGGATGAGCTGATCAAGAAAGAATAGTTTCTCTTTCTCGATCAGCCTTGTCCCGCCTAGTACACACCCCGCCCCCTAGTAAAACACTCCCCTCACTCCTATAACCCTTCCCTGCTAAATAAAGTTAATCCCTTCCTCCCCCCATTGCCATTAGTACAGTGTCAGTTTTTTTTTTTTTTTTGCACTGATCACTGTATTAGTGTTTTTGGGGATGTCAGTGACCCCAAGTCAGTATCCCCCCAATGTCAGAATGTCCGCCGCAGTCCCGCAGTCCCACCATAAGTCGCTGGTCGCTGCCATAAGTCCCTGATCGCCGCCATAATTCGCTGATCGCCGCCATTATTAGTATAAAAAAAAAACCTAAAAATCCCAGAATCTTTCCAGCCATTTCTAAACGCTATAACTTTCACGTAAACCCAATTAATTTACACGTATTGGGTTTTTTTTTAGCAAAGACATGTCGCAGAATGCATTTTGGCAGAAATTTATGACTAAATTTGATTTTTGCATTTTTTTTTTACTGGACATGTTTTATAGCAAAAAGTCCAAAATATTGTTTTTTTTCCCTCAAAATTGTCAGCCTTTTTTTTTTATAGCGCAAAAAATAAAAACCACACAGGCGATCAAATACCACCAAAAGAAAGCTCAATTTGTGGGGAAAAAAAGGATGTAAATTTCATTTATGTACCATATTGTATGACCGCGCAATTGTCAGTTAAACTAGCGCAGCGCTGTATAGCAGAAAAATGGCGTAAATTGCAGTATTTATACCATAGTTTGTAGACGCTATAACTTCCACACAAAGCAATCAATATACACTCATTGGGATTTTTTTTTACCAAAAACATGTAGCAGAATACATTTTGGCCTAAATTTATAACCAACTTTATATTTTACTATATATTTTTTATAGCTGAAAAGAAAAAAAAAATTGTTTTTCTTCAAAATGTTTGGCGTTTTTTTGTTTATAGCGTGAAAAATAAAATGCGCACAGGTGATCAAATTACACCGAAAGAAAGCTCTATTTGTGTGAAAAAAAGGACGTAAATTTCGTTTGGGTGCAGCATTGCATGACCGCGGTTGAATTAGTGCAGCGCCGAGTAGCAAAAAGAGGCCTGGTCATTAAAGGGGGTAAATCCTCAGGAGCTCAAGTGGTTAATAGCAATAAAAACGGACAAGGGTTCTAATTATTCTCCACTGTATTAATCCCACTGGATATCGCATGAGATAAAATACCATATGGTTTCATGAGATCAATACCGCATGTTTCAGGAAAATACCACATGCAGTATTTTAGTAGTGTTTTTTGTGAATGCCAAAAACGTTTTGAAAAACGGTAATCGAAATTTTACCGCATTTCTTAAAGTGGTCGATACTGCTTCGTGAATGGAGCCCACTGCACTCTGGCAGTGCATGACTGGCTGTGGAGCTGATTTTTTTTTTTTTTTGCTTTTATACATAACTTACATACAGCAACACCCCAATCTTATTCCTTCAAGAAAAAATAGTCATTTTTTTTCCAGGTGTTTTTTATCAGTAACACATATCATATGAAACAACATTGTCCCCCAATAGCTCATGCCTACTATGTGTAAAGCCTAGGAAGCACGATCAGAAAATCGTACAAAAAATACCGCTTTCAAAGCGATCGTACTATAATCTGATTATTAGTACACAGCTTTTGTCTGAAATAATTTGAAGGGACAAGCATGAAAACATTACAATACATGGCATCACTTCCAAATTTTTATTCTGTCCTGCAAGAATTTTTGTAACTTTAGTAGCCTCTTCATTTTCGTTGTAAGATTAGCAATTAGACGATATTCTCATTGTGTGTACGGGGCTTAACACCTATGTTTTAGGAAAGATAAAATGTGCCCCGAAAGCCCGACCTCTTCCTTGGTCTCATAATGGTGGTATCTGGCATCCCTGTCTCACATGCAGAAGCCAGTGTTATCTCCAAACAGGGACCTTTTTCAGTGTTTTTGCTGTGGATAGTGTCTGTTATCAGCAGACACTGTCTGCAAACAGATAAGATAAGCAAATGTTTTGTTGTAGAGTTTTTCTTTTCTAACCAATCTTTACATTTCAGATGGCTCTGGAAAATTACCAGTTTTAGGGCCAGTTCACACCACATGCAGTCAAGTGCATACTTTTTTTCTGCATTTAAAAACGCATTGATAATAGGTTACATGGTTTCCAATGCTATAGTTCACACCAGTGTGGTCAGTTCCAGTGAGTACCAGTTCCAGAAAAAAAAGTAGAACATGCTGCTGATGTAAAACGCATAAAAAATGCATCAAAAACACACAGAAATGCACATGTCCTTATATAAGTTTGAATTAAAAGAGAGGGGGAAAAAATTAACCAGAGCACATCAAAGATGCATCAAAAACACAGCAGAACACACCAAAATGCTCATACAGAAAAGAGTCCGGACTGCATTTCTATGGTGTGAACCGGACCTTGAAGTTGTTTTAGCTCTTACATATGTTCA